ACTAGAAGATGCTTAAATACACAATTTCTAACAATGATTTTGACATTTTAGTATTTTAATAGTCCCCTCCCACTCCAAAAGGGCTTGGGTTTGTTTACTACCTTTATTTACACATCAGCCTAAAGGGTAAGGTTGAGCAGCAATAGGCACAGTTCTGGGAACAGCATTAATTATCTGGAAATTAGATAATTAAGTTCAAAAACTGCAGGAGAAAGGGATGCTTCACAATAATTCCTTGTTGGTCCTTGGCAAAAAAAATGGCAAACTTGAAACAAAACTGATATCTAGGGTATCAGAACACATACTGGTGCACTCCTTGTCCATGCAGAAGTGAGATAACCTAGACTGAACAGCTGCAGAGAGCAAATTGGAAGCAAAGGCACTGTGGAAGTATATGGAAGGAATGGATGAAGGACAGCAAAAGACTCAAATTAACAGTAAAAAATTTTAAGTATATCAGAAGCAGAAAGCCTGCCAAACAATCCGGGGGCCACTGGACGATGAAGGCACTAAAGAACCACTCAGGGAAAATATGGCCACAGGGGAGGCAGAAGTCTTCACCACACGGGATATTAGGGAAGATTCCCATACTTGAGCCCTTCTTTTTAGGTAATACATTTGAGAAACTGTCTCAGAATGAGGTGTCATTAGAGATGGTTTTGGAACAAACTGATAAATTAAACAGCAAAATGTCACCAGGAGCAGATGATATCCTGAAAGAACTCAAATGTGAAACTGAAGAACTGTGGTATATAACCTATCCCTTAAATCACTTTTTGTACCAGATGACTGGAGAACAGCTAACATAACGCTATGTTTTTAAAAAAGCTCTCGAGGTAAACCTGGCCATTACAAGCCAGTAAGCCTAATTTCAGTACCAGGCAAACTGGTTTAAACTATAGTGAAGGACAGAATTGTTGGACATATAGATCAGCGGTTCTCAAATGATAGCAAACTGTGGGCTCCCATTTTTATTTAAAATTTTTCACGGACTTCAATTCACTCGCTCGGACACTGGCCCTGTACCCTACTCTACTCATTCTCCCAAGACCTCACCCCCATGCCAGCTCTTCCTGCTCCCCACTCCATGCCTGTCTCATCTCTTCATGCCACTCCTCCAAGTGCATTCTGTCCCCACTCCTCCTCGCTGCCCCCCTGCACACTGCTAACAGCTGTTCTGCAGCATGCAGGAGGCACTGGGAAGGAGTGGAAGAGTTCAGGGAAAGGAACTGATCACCAGAGCCGGGACACTCCCTGGAGTACCTTCAAAGACCCCTTTGAGAAATGCCGACATAGATGAATGATTTGTTGGAAGGAGAGTCAACATAGCTTTTGTAAATGGAAGTCATACCCCCAATACATTAGAAATCATTGTGGGGGAGGGAGTAAGGAGGGGGACAAGCATGCTGACAAGGACGACCCAGTGGATACGGTGTACTTGCACTTTCAGAAAGCCTTTGACGAGGCTCCTCACCGAAGGCTTTGAAGCCAACTAAGAAGTCATGGGAGAAGAGGGAAAGCCCGTTCATGGTTAAATGACAGGAAACAGATGGTGCAAATGAGTAGTCTGTTTGCAGAATGGAGAGAGGAAAATAGTGGTGTTTGCAGGGATCTATATTAGGACCAGTGCTGTTCAAAAATATTCATAAAGGGTCTGGGAAAGGTGGTCAACAATGAGGTGGCAAAATGTATAGAAGATACAGAATTATTTAAAATAGTTAAGTCTGAAGCTGACTGTGAAGAATTACAAAGGAATCTCACAAAATTGAAAAAAAATGGCAAATGAATTTCAATACTGATAGATGCAAAGTAATACACACATTGGAAAATACAATCCCAGCTATACATACAAAATTATTGAAATTAGTGTTACCACTGAAGAAAGATCTTGGAGTCACCATGGATAGTTCTCTGAAAACTTCCATTCAATGTTCAAAGGAAGTCAACAATGTGATGAACCACTAAGAAAGTGACAGGTAAGACAGAAAATATAATGCCACCATATAAATCCATGGTACACCCGCACCATGAATAGTGCATGCAGTTCTCATCACCTCATCTAAAAAAAATAGAATTTGAAAAGATAGACAAAAAGGGTAACAAAAACAAATACGGTGTATGAAACAGCTTTCATGTAAGGAGAGAGAGAAAAGATGGGGACCCTTCAGCTTGGAAGAGAGACAACTAAAAGGAGGGATATGATACAGGTGTATAAAATCATGAACGTAATGGAAAAACTGAATATGGAAGTATTATTTACTCCTTCACATAAACCTAAGAACCAGGGGTCATTCATAAGGCTAACAAACAGCAGGTTTAAATAAATTTAAGTACTTCTGCACACAACATGTAGTCCACCCAGGGGATGTTGTGGATCATAAGGTTAAAAGAAACCGCAAAGGTCACCTGGTCTAACCCGCTGCCCATCAAGATGTACGATTTGTTGTTTGATCCATCCAAGACAGACGGCTCTCCAGCCTCCTTTTGAAAATCTCCAGTGACGAAACTTCCACAACCTCCTGAGGCAGTCTGTTTCATCCTCCTACTGCTCTACAGTTAGAAGTTTTTTTGAAGGTTTAACCTAAATTTGCTGTTATAGTCCAAATCCATTGCCTCTCATCCTGCCTTCAATGACCAGAGAACAAGTTTTTCTCCATCCTTTTTAAGAGAGCCTTTCATGTATCTGAAGACTTCAGTGATCAGTTGACCTTCTCCACTGAGCAGTGAACCTACCCCGGGTCCTTATCTTTCTTTTTTGTCTGACATTTGAAGAACATTTTCCTGTTGTCTCTAACACCTCTTTCCAGCTATAACTCATTCTTTGTCTTGCCTTTCCTGATGGATCCCTACATGCTCATGTTACTCCTATGCATACTTCCTTGGTGACATGCCCCTCCTTCCATTTCCTGTACATAACCCTTTTGGTTTTTAGATAGCGGAAATGCAACTTGTGCTGCCATATGGGCTTCCTGTGGCTCTTATCCTTCCTCTGCATCAGAGCAGTTTGATATTGAACCTCTAGTATTAGACATTTTGTGTAATCCCAGCTCCCTTCAGCTTCTTTTCTTCCTAATTGGCCTTTCCACAGGACCTTGCCTATTATTTCTCTGAGTTGGCTGAAATCTGCCTTTCTGAAGTCTAGTATTCTTGTTTCTGCTGTCCTCATTCTGCATAGAATTTTAAATCCTATCAGAGCATGATCACTTCCTCCCAATTCCGGAACACCTTTGCTTTCACAACTAATTCATCCCTGTTACTCAAAAACAGATGCAAAAGAGAGGGCTACTCAACCTTGGAAGCCCCGGGGGCCACAATGATACTCACAGCACGTGTCGAGGGCTGCAACTTAAGTGCGGTTGCATATACATGCCAATAGCTTGTTTCACACAGATAAGGCTTAAACTTCGTATTCATGCCTAAGCCGCGGTGCTGGACCCAAATGTGGCCACTGTGAGCCAGTCAGTACCTCTTAGGCTCTGCTCACAAGGCTAAGCAGCCAACACTTCCCACAATGCCCTGGTGCCTCCTCCCTTGGGGCTAGAAATGCTGACACCCTGTACCAGTCTGTTCCAGCCAGCCTTTCAGCTTATGTCTTTCAGTGCTCACCCTGCCTCGCCGTTGTGGAGCATGCTCCCAGTGGAGGCCATGTTCAAAGAATCCCACCCGCGGACCATGTGCTGAGCCCCGCGTAAACCCAAACCGCATCGTGAGCTGCAAACCAACAGGCCGCACGTTGAGTAGCCCTGTCCTAGTTGTTTCCTCAACTTTCTGACACACAGGTGTCACCTACACACACTAAGAATGTGCAGAACATGTAATGTTTTACTGCTTAATGTCACTTGCCTGCACTTGGTAGAGACTGTGGAGTACAAGAAAATAGTAAGACGATATGGCCGATAGGCATTGGTCACAGCCTAACCACTGTCAAATTTATAAAGGCATCATGGCAAAAGAGAGCTTTGGGGAGGGACGTGAAAGTAAATTCTGGAGTAGCTCTGGAGATGTTTACAGAGAATGGCTCAAGCACAAGAGGCCACAAGGGAGAAAGCATAAAGATACCTATGCGAGTTTAAGAAACACTGTTGGAGGTTTCAATGAAATTTCAATACTTAGCTTTATGCACAGGCAACTTTCACAAGGCAATATTCATATCGCACATATTTTTAATCAGATCTTTGAGTCCAATGCACAAGGACTGACTGAAAATTATTATAGATTTTCTGTGATGTCTGGAGTAGCAGTTCCCAACCAGTTGCTCCCATGGTTATCAGGGAGAAAATATGTATTTGATTATTAATAAAATGGTGATTCTTCAGCCATGCTCTGCTTTTTTAAACCAAAGCAACTATTCCTCTCTGCTACAGGAAGTTGCCGGAGAAGAAGAGAAGGGGCTCAGGGTGAGAAGAAGGCAGATGAGGGGAGGATAAATTCCCCTGCACAGCTCACATGAGAACTCTGATCTGCCTGCACCCTGCCCCATCCCACCTACTGTACCACAAAAGGAGGAGAAAGAGACTAGTTCTCAGTTGCACCAGGCTATAAGAACATGATTGGCTCTGCCTGAGCCTAATAGGTGCCCACGAAAGGATGGCTCCCCTCTCCTACACAGATGTCCAAGAGAGAAGGACATTAAACGAAACTGAGAACTAATTAGTTTAGCTTGCAGATTCTCTCTCACAGCCCAGGTTACAGCAGCCAAGGGGCTGCTCATCAGTGTGCCAGCTAACCAACTAACAATCCCCTATGACCACACTCCATCTGGTGATAGCTGAAATGCATTGTGCTCCAGCCATTCCTCCCAAACCGCATGTTGTGGATAAAGGGCCATTGAAGGCAGCTATGCAGTACAAAGAACGTCCCTCCAAGTATAGATTTTGGCCTCTTAAATATAGTACAATACACGTTTGGTCAGAAGTCACTGATCTAGGCAATGTTTAAAGTCGAAGTATGACAGGTTTTATTCTGTATGGTTTTCCTAAGAAACAGGAAAGTTTATTTACCTTGTGAACACTGATCCAGGAATTTAGGAAAAAGCAATCTAGAAAACAAAATAAACTTTCATGTTAAAAATAATGTTAAAAATGGATGCTCTATACAAACACTTAGCCAATACTACAAGCTTCTAGATGGCTTTCTATTGTTTCCACGTAGACTAACTATGAACCCAATTCCAGCATGCTTTTCATTTACCAGAAGCTTCGCAGTGGAAGCTTATTAGCAACTGAACCGCATTCAAGTCTTGTTTGGCATGCAGACCCCTTCAGAAATACAAAAAATGTGCTAGGATAAGTGGGATAAATCAATACAGGTGTCTTTAGGTAAAGACCTAAAAGTAACTGGGGCTGGTGTCTATTACCTGAAAAGCAGGAAGAAGAAATGAGGTTAGATAAGAAAGGTGTAATAATCAGGGGCTTCCTTCCACGTGTGACAAATAGCTATTATATAAAAGCACATAGTTTTCTAATCACTTTGGAACAACAAGTGTAAATTGCAAACCTGCTCTGAGGATTGAATGAAGCATTAACCTTTTCAGCACAGGACTGATCTATCTTTCATTAATAAATTGATTGAGCCTGGTTACCTGAGATCTAAATCAAGCCCTAACACAAGCATAATCCTTGAGTTTAAGTTTGAAGACTGAACTTCTTTCATCTGGCAACTCTGGGAAATAGATTCAAGATTTTGCTGGGACAGAGAGGACATCAGGGAGAGGGAGGTGGAGCGCTCATCTGGTGGTCTGCATCCCCCACTGCTCCCAGGCACCGCCCACCGCTATGCGAGTGGCAGGGAAAAGCCTCTGGAAAAGTGCCTCTGTAAAAGCCCATTGCTGCACTGCCATTCCCGCAGCTTGGGGCCCGGGGAAGCGGCAGCATGCAGAGCGGCTTCCTCCTCTCCCTGCCAGGTTCCATACCATGGGTGTTCCCGGATTAGGGACACCTGGAATACGGAAGTTACAGTGTATTTGACTTAACCTGGCATCACCACCCTGTCCAATTTTCAAGCCTTTTTTTATGCTATCATATGGCCTGAACAGCTTTCCAAGTCATGTTTACTATGTGTTTTCCCTGCCAAAAAGCATGTTTGGAAAACTAATCTATTTTATGAAGCTTTTCTTGTGTCAAGGACTATTTTCTACTCTGTCTGGTATTACACTGAGTTAATTAGTAAAAGATTGGAATATCAAGGTATTGTTAAACATGGTATTGTTACACAACTGGGTTGTACCTTTAGAATACATGAAAAGCGTTTTAGGGCAGGATTAATATTTAGTGCATTTCACTCTTTGCACAGTACCTATAGTAACCTCTGGCATTCCATCAACAATGGAATACTAAGAATGGCCGACTGCAGTATAAAGCCATTTTAAGTCTGCCAGATTCTGTACTTTTACAAGCTCTTACAGAAGGAAGCTTCAAAGTGAGACAGAAATAGACACTACATGGACTATGTCTTTGCCATCAACAGCTACTTCACTTCAGGAGATAACCTGCAATTCTTTCATCATAGTCCCAATGAAATATTTATAGAAATAACCTTCATTTGTAGTTAACATTATCTACATCAAATTGAAAGATTACAGTGGAGACACTTAGAATAGTAACAGAGATGTAGCCGGTGTTAGTCTGGTCTTGCTGAAACAAAAGACAGGACTATGCAGCACTTTAAAGACACTTGGTATTTACTGAAAGACAGAATTCATGTTTTTTAATCAGGTACCCAAACTGAAATAAAAGTTTCATATTGTCTGGCAATATGAAAGAATAAGGAAGATTCACTGAAGAATCGTTGCAATAATTCATTGCTTTGTAAAATTCAAAAAACACATTTTTTTGTTTGTTCCTACATAATCTACAGATGTGAACATTAATTTCTTTTTCTAAGTTAAACTTTTTGAAAGCAAAACTTAGTTTCCAGTGGATAACAATCCCACATTAAATGTATAAGTCAAACTGCATTTAAAAGCTCTGTTAAAAAGATATAAAATCAAAGATGAGACCATTTAGTGAAGCTCCAACATAACCCAGCTCACACATGGTTGCATAATTCCCACAAGATGACAAAGGAAACCACAAACTACATATACACACACACGAATACACAAAACAATTCAGATTTTCAAGTGTACCTATGTTCCATATAGCAGCTAAGCGGTTCTACGCAAGTAGAAATTGTTCCAATGATGAAAGAGGACTTCACAGCAGGGTCAGGGTGAGTTTGCAGTGCCTGTACAACATCAATAACATCTGTATATCTACCAAGAGAACAAAGTGAAGATGTGTGAAGTGACAGAAATACAAGAACCATGTCAACAACTAATAAAAAGAAATTACTAGTGTTCTAAGAAAAATGCTTGTTCCACGATTCAGCATGCAAGAGATTTAAGAATTCAGACATTTACTTACACAAAGAAAACAGAAGTGACAACAGAAATTACTGACAGCTAAACCTTGCGCTGTTATAAACTCAACATTGAATAAGTATAACTATGCTTTCAAGAGGCACAGAAATAAGGTAGGAAGAAATTCACATTATGGTTCTGCAAGTGATGTAGCACATGCACGTTAACTGAAGACCTAAAGAAAATGCTATAGAAACATTTCTGTTGGCCTTGGGTTTTATACTTCCTTTCTTTACAAGACCTTATAATTTGGACTTCAATCAAACTTGGTGTTGCTTTAAGAAGAATTCTAGTTTAAACATTCTGCTTGAATTGAAGTATTCTTCTCCTGTGTTTGTAACTCAAAACTCTGTCACATAATACTAGTGGTTGAGAACATTAATATGAAATTGACTAAATTGTATTTACTTGATAGCCACGACTTAAAATCAGCTCTGTTCCACATCTCATATTTACTTTGAAGCAAAGGATTATCTTATCCTTTTTGCACTGGCATTAAAAAAGTCCTGAAATTATATTAATAACTGGGCTTTTCTGTAACAATCAACACCTAGAGAGTTCAGCTCCCCACAAAATGTGGAAAAATTAAGAAAGGTTGTGGAGGGAGCTAGAAGAATTCTCCAGCATAGATTCAGCTTCAGACTTTTGCTGAGATGTGAGGTTTTAGAAACTTAAACCTAAAATCAAAGATTTTACTGAACTATCAACATTCATTTAACTACTCTATTTTTACTGTCTGGTATGAAAAGAAAACTGACTAGCCAAAACAGTTTTAAATATATTAGCAATAGTTAAGACTCTGGAACCAAGCTACCAGGGCTATCTATGGAAATATATTAAGAAAAAAATAGGTTTTTTTAAACGACAAAACAAGCAGCGTGAATGTCTTTACAATTAATATTATTCTAATATTCCCAATAATGGAAACTAAACAAAACAAAATAGTAAAGAGAGTTTATTGGTGACCATTGTATATGAGTTTAGCTAATAATATCCTTTTCGAATACTGTACACTTCAAAAGCCAAAATGTTATGACCTAGACTCTTTAACTAGTACCCACTACAGTACTGTACTGCCTGACAGAAATGAGTATTTATTTCTAAACCAAGATGGAAAAAATTGTTTCAATGTAATATTACTTTTAAGTTATCTGATGTAAATGCTAATAGATATTAAATCAAAATCAAGTGCACATATCTTTAAAGGGTGAGAACATTTATTAGAGAGGACCATCTGTGTGTTTCGCTAGCTGAAACTTTCACTCCTGGCACACAGAAGGAGGTCAAGGCTGTGTTACGCTGGGAGCAAATACCTGAGTACACTGCCAAGTGCGGTGCTAATGACAGTGCAAACAGCAGCCCTTCCTTCTCATTCAAGACAGACCAACTCCCACCATGGTGCTAGTATGTGCTGCTGAAGCAGTCATCTTTTAGGTTTTATTTTACTAGATATAGAACATATATGCATATATTTTAAAAAAAGACAGACATCCTATCCACTCATGTCCATTAAAGACCTAATAGCTTCCTCCTTCATAAGTAGGCATGTTTACCTGAAACAGAGTTTAATTAAGACCTACTTAAAATCCCCCCGTACTTTTAACTGAATGTGGTTTGGTCCTCTCTGCCAGTCTTAAACCAGAGTTCACGTGCTCTGATGGGCACAATCCTCTCAATCAGAAAGAATATCAGAACATTCAACAAAAAAACCTGTTGCATGTTCAAATGTGAACTTATCTGAATAAGGATTCATGACATAAAAAGCAAACATGCATAGACCTTCTGCTTGATCTATACAAAATTAACTTTGAGGTTGAGATTTTTTTTTAAATGCAAGAGACATGAAATCCTAAACTATGGTTCTCATCGGAAATTCAACTCAGACCTTGCCCTACATGAACATTCAGTTTGCTGCAAGCTACCGTGTGAATCTGTTCCACTATAGACCACGTTGGTGTGCTCATTAGCATACTTTAATCTACTTGTGTTTCAAAGCAGGATAGATCAAAGCACAGTCGGTGTGCTTCAGCATGGTGCACGTGGACAATTACTATGTAGCAGATACTGTAGGGTAGATTCACACATCTGCTTGCAGAGAACAAAATGTTTGTTTAGACAAGCCCTTAGCTTCTTTTGGTATATTAAGATACTACAGCCGTTCCCCCGACTTAGGAACGAGTTAAATTCCAAGCGCTTGGTCGTAACTCGATGTGTTCGTAAATCGGACCCCATTCATTTCAATGGGACCACACTATTTGTAAGCGCGGATCGCCATACGTAAGTCGGGGCTGTGCGTAATGCGAGGCTGGTTGTAAGTGCGGCTGGTCGTATGTCGATGCGTTTGTACATCGGGGACCGGCTGTATAACAAGTAACAAAGTATATGCAGTAATATCAGCTTCTACATGTACAAAGGAGAGAATTTACAGTTCTTGCAGTTAATATTTTTGTTTTTAAAATCTCCATAACAAATTCAGGCTTTATGTTTACATTGAGAAAAAAGAATCAATGGCTCCTTTACATCTGAAAACCATGAAATTATTAAAAATCCTTCTGCACTGCTTGTTCAGAATAGCTATACAATGCTTTTCCAAAGAAAGGCCTAATTGTGGTATTCAAAGAATTAATTACATCAATTCTTACTTCCTGAAATAATATTTTCAAGATACTCCACATTCAAGTGTAGCAAAAACCTGTAAGGATATTTCAGTAATTTTCAACACAATAGGTTTTCCCTTGGAGAGAAATGGGATGGTACTCCACCCTATTGGTATTTTTCAAAACAAGTCCAGTATCTCAACCTTCAAATATAAAATAGTCAAAAGTAGGATGTGAGCTCAGCTAACAAGCTTTTCTGCATAGTGTAGCAAGCTGTTGTACATTTTTGCTGAACTGTATTGTTTTCTTCTCTACAATAAATTGTATCTACTGGGAAACACAGAGAAGTATTTTGTGGCACTTGCATGCATTCATGGAGCACAACAGACAGTTCTGTCTCCAGAAATTAAACAATGCTTTAGTGGTTGAAGTAAATTCTACCCGCAGTTCTTAAAGTACATCACACTATTTACCTCAGGTCTTCCAAAAAAAACCACCAAAGAAACAAAAAACAAACAAAAAAAGGATTTCAAAATTTAGATCAGTATCTTTAGTTGGCCACCACACATGAAGTGGGATTAAGGGGAAGGTGTTGGATATCACTATAACGTGGTCTCATCAGTTTCTGGAGGATGAGTGCCCCACTATCATGCCGCACTAAAAGTGTGGTGCTGTACTAGAACTATACTATCATCTGTACTCAGGATGATTTCTGAAGCTACGTCTATACTGCAACACTATTTCAGGATACCGGCGTATCTCAAAATAGCTATCCTGAGTCTTCATAGCAAGCCCATTATTTCAGGCTCGCTATTCCGATGTCCGGTGCTATGTAGACAGCACCAAAATAACTAAATAAGCTATTGCGAAATAGTATCGAAATAAGATACGCAATTTGCGCAGCTCAAATTGTGTAACTTATTTCAAGTTATGGTGCAGTGTAGATGCACACAGAGAGCCATACGTAAACTATTCTCTCCTGAGGACCGCTGACACTTGAACATATCAATGGAGGGGGTAAAACCAGAGCTAAGCTTGACTGTTTTCAGCACATGAACTAACACTCACCGAAACCTTCTTCCAATGAAGATAGGCAAAGATTACAATAAATTACAAAACAGTTTACCGTAGGAGATATGAGAGCAGAACTGAGAACGGCATACCTTCTTGAAGATCAATCTTGTTGAGTTTGACACTACTAAATAATGATGGGGAACCATGAAATATTTATAAATGAGAATAGTTGAGAGAACTCTATTGTACAAACTGTTTGTCTAACATTTGAAAGACTTACCCTTGCAAGACCACCAACAGCCTCATTTTCTTTCTGGTGTAAGTGGACTGACGAGCACTGCGGTTCTGTTGGGACTCAAGAACACTTGAAAGGTAACGCTGGAAGTGAGCTGCACTGAAGCATTCAGGGCTATCCATAGTTTGCCGATAAACAACCCACCTGAAATAATCCAATTAAGTGAGTGAGATAGCAATTCAGTTCTGTTTTCTCTTTATATCTTATTAATTGTTCTTTTCATTTTTGACCTTTGACCATCCAAAATACATTTCTCACCAGTACAAAGACATTCCCCATTTCTGGTCCCATACAGAAACAAAGGAGGAACTCGCTTAGGATGATGTCTTTTAAGCATCAGCCTACTGTTTTTAAATTGCTGCTAATGGCTTCTTTGACATGGAACAAGGTCAAATAGCTTCTTCAAAGCAATGTGCCAGAGTAATTTTGATTTGTGTGTTGGTAATAAAGCTGAACAATCATGAGCTCAGGGATCCTAGAAATCTGTCTGCCATGAAAAAATGCAGCATTTGCACTTTTACAGAGAACCATCAGTTTTTACATTTTGTGAAAAAATCAATACACGCATTAATTTCTAACTAAATCTCACAGAAAGTACCAGTGTCACTTCCTGCATAAATGTGTTGGGCATCATTTGAGTAAGTATACATAAATCTAAGTAGTACCTTGAGCAGACTGAACAGTTTTTTTAAGTAAGTTTTCAATTGACAGCAAGAGTCCAACCACCCAAGACTGACAGTGGGCACTTCATTTTTTGTGCATTTAAAAAAAAAAAAACTATACATTTTCTGAAAATATGCAATACAGAGATAAAAGCATTTGGTATAAATACGAAATGCAAAACTTATTTCTATAAATGTTATTATAATGATTAATGGCTTAAAATTATACATATATCAATAAAATCTTGTGTTCAACTAATACCTATATTTTACCATATTATAAAGTGGCTAGGGAAACTAAAGTTCAGTGTTGCATTGTAATCACAAACAGATTTTTGTGGTTTATTCAAGATTTTTTAAGCACAGCAAATGAGGATCCCTGATCAAGAGACAGTGCATGAGCTACCTTGGACAGGATACATTTCAGTTCTATTGATAAGATGATCTTTTTGCCAATTTTGGCACTTAAGAAATGAAACATGGTTTTATGCACCAATCATTTCAAATGAATGTTATATGTTTATAATAAAACACACACAAACCCTCAGTTTGCAAATTTTAAATAAAAAGGTTTGGAACAAGCCACACACAAAACTGCCACCATTCGATTTACATTTAGCCCAGAACAGATAATTACTTAAATATTTACAAATGCTAAGTTCCCATTCAGCCAGGTTTTTATAATATGAATTAGAACTGCCTTACTACAGAGATTACATTCCAGATATTTGGAGCATAAGCTTTTGGGGGTAAGAAAAAAGGATTGGTCTGTTTGATCTTGTAAAGAGTTGAGTACTGAAAGATACAATTCTTCAGTGACTCTTTCCTATCTCTACATCATGGTGGAAGTTATACACATTCTCTCTGGTTTGGCAAAAGACAGTGGAACCAAAAAACACTTTAAAATCAGACTGAAAATTTAAAAATAATATCTCATCTAGATTTCAAATACATTCTCCAATTTACACAAGAGAGGAGTTATATTTGCCTCAAGACTTCCCACCAGAGGAAACAAGCAATGCTCCCTAGCTGTTCTCTCAAAGCGCTTATGGAGAAAATCACACGGTAACCTGTCACTTTAGCCCAACTTCTAATGTTTCATCTGACCCTTCTGGAGATCCTGCTAATCCTACAGATGCATTGAACTGTCTCAGAGAATAAACAAATGGACATACAGCAGTGACAATGGCCATCTGAATTAACTTTCTGATATTTGTGCTATTCCCATTCTTAAGGCAGAATATATCATCTCCCTACCTAAGATACTTATGTGATATTCTCCTGTTCCCACCTGCCATCACTAGGAAATCCAAGTGCCTCACGATGTTTACTGCACAAGTCCTCACACCTAGGAATGTTAAATTTAGATTAACTGGCTAATCGAATAGCCGATGTAATTTGCATTGACTATTCAACTAGTCGATAAGGGCGCCTCCGCCTTTGAAGTGTAGCAACAGATCCAGCGCTTTGAAACGCTGCATGGGCTTTGGGAACTGCTTGAGTCCCCTACTGGCCCCATGCTCCCCACAGCACTTTCACCTTTAAAGTGTAGCAACAGCCATGGGGCGGAGGCACCCTTATCAACTGAATAGTTGATGCAAATTGCAGGAGAAGTGAAGGTTTAAGTGTAGTCTGTTTCAGCAAAAACAACAAGGAGTCTGGTGGCATCTTAATAAAATTGCTAGTTTTTATGGCATAAGCTTTCGTGAGTTGCCGCTCACTTCATCAGACGTATGAAGTAAGAGAAGAAGAAACATAGTAGGGATACAGAGATGTTACATCAGAGCTAATTCCATCATGGTGGATGTGGATACGATCAGAATATCTAAGATGGAAAACTACTTACTGTAACAAGAGCTATTCCCAGTCCCTATTCAGACCCATTCTGATGGTGTCAAATTTGCATATGAATTCCAGCTCAGCAGTTTCATGTTGCCACTGTTTTTTAAGTTTGAGGATGGCAACTTTCAAGTCTGTAACCATGTGTCCAGGGAGGTTAAAATGTTCTCCCACTGTTTTATGTAGTTTACCATTCTCAATGGCTGATTAGTGTCCGTTTACTCTGTTGCATAGAGACAGTCTATATGCAAATATAGGAAGATGTGCTCTCATTAAGATGTGCTCTCATTACTGGCTCATGACTTATGCTGCTGACTGCAAAACGGTTTTGCATGACTGCTGCACAAAGTAGAACCAAAACAACACAACTAACCTTCCATACTCCTTGTTAAAGGTGACCAGAAAAGTGCACAGATCACTGGCGTGACAGCCTGGAAGCCCTGTTATAATAGTGATAACCACCTAAAAGAAAAGGAAAAGTTATATTTAGTACTATTACTGTAATTATTTTTCTTGGGAGTGCTCAGAAGTATGCTAGAGACCTCACAAACCAATGTAACAATGTCTCTGCTCCTAGAAAGCTCTCAATACAAAACAATACCAGAGAGAGCAAGAAAAAGTGGGAAGACAGAGAGAAAGGAGCATAACAGCTATAAATTTAACTTTATTTATGTAGTTATTGAGAAACATCACAGACGTCTTTTCAATATTTTTACAGTTTAACTAATGTGACTACAACCAAACTTTAAAGAGCTGCAAAGCTAACTGAATAAATGCAGTTTCTGGGGTAGCCGACCTAGTTAATCTGTACAGGAAAAAAAATCGTCTGATAGCACTTTATAGACTAACAAAACATGTAGACGGTATCATGAGCTTTTGTGGGCACAGCCCACTTCTTCAGATGACTGGAGTTCACTAAATGCAGGGCAAAATAGATTTGCAGAGCATAAACAAGTATTTAATTTTGCATAGAAGAAGAGTGAAGGTGTAAGCATTTTATAAACTTTCTTCCTATCCATTTTTTAAAAGTCGTTTTGAGGATAGTGTTTTTTGTTTGCTTGTTTTTGCACTCTCTTACCTTATCGTTTTCTGGTTTACTAACAGGAATGCTTTCCGACTGTTGTAACAAAACAGGAAGGTGTGCTCTCATTACTGGCTCACGACTCATGCTGCTGACCGCAAAGTGTTGCAGAAACCTTTGAAAAGTTAAGTTGCATTATCTTTTAAGCAACATGTGGATTTCTCCTGCGGCCATTCCCGCTCCCCCCTGAACAGCTGTAACTTGACTACAGTAAAACATGTTACTGGATGTAAACTTTAATAGAGACCTCCCAGTGAAGGAAAATATTCCAACTTTGTATTAGTATTTGCATCCCACTATAAGAATTTAGTACGAAGTTAGAGAAGCAATAGATCTTAAAATGGGGCACCATCTGGGAAGTACGTAATCTTTTGAAGTTACAAAAAAAACCACCACCAACTCCTCACCTCTCTAATTCAGGGAGGCTAGCAGATATTTTTAGGTGGCTCCATCTTTCTGCAGGATAGGACAAGGCATTACACAGCTTCTGTATGTTGGAGTGTCTGAAATAAGCACACCCATTTGTTTAGCTCAAAACGAACATGACCAACTTCCTTCGCTTTTAATCCACAAAGCTGATAAATTCTGATAAAATGGTGGAAGTTATAAGAACAATTTCATCATTCTGATTTTTCAAGTGAATCGGCTGTAAAACTTTCTACAGTGTTTGAGAGGTCACAAGATCTTGGCTGAGTGTTAAACAGAAAACATTACTCTAAATCAGTGGTTTCCAACCTGTGGTCCGCAACAGTATTGCAGGGGTCAGTGGGAAGTTTAAAAATAAGGATCAGGCCCACAACAGTGGTCTGATCCTTTTCTTCTCTTTGCCTCCCTCAGGGAACGGGCTATGTAAAATTTTTAATAGATTGAAAAGAGGTCCATACACTCAAAAAGGTTGTGAACGACTGCTTTCGATCTGTAATGACATGTAAATACATGAAGATGAGCAACATCAACTTACAATCTATTTTGTTCTGCAGACAGGAAATCTGCCTGGAGCACCTTTAAAGATATTCCTGAGTTTGTCTGTTGCCATGAAGAGAAAACCTGAAACAAAACAAAAAAGCAAGCCTCACAACACTGGACTCGTTTAGATTTCACACATCTGAAATGTTAGTGTACAGAGTTTTAAAGGTATTTTTTATTTTGTAGAGCAAATTAAGTCTTTTATTCACAACACCAACTCACAAGGCTTTTTTTGTTTCAAACAGGAAAGCCTCCTAGAGCAGCAACCACCACCATCCATTCCATGCCTGGAAAAGCTGAGTGGAAAGGAAGTCACAACCATACATGTTCGACAAATATAGATTTCAGGTAGCTTCTTGATGCAGAGTTGATATTTCCAAGAAGTATCCCATTACTACTACCAGTACTTTTTTGTGACGGTACTGCCTGGTACGCAGTACTGGCCCCTCCAGATGCAGTACTGGCAACTTCAGTCAGAGCTTACCTGGAGAAAATGGAGCCTACCGGCACCTCTGTACGCAAATGTCTGACAGTTAGCTGGGCCGCGTCTTTTAAAAGGGTAATGCTGGCCCCACCCCACCCCCCTTTTTTTTTGGCTCAACTTTTCCCCTGGAGTACCAGGACCTCCTTTCTCTCCCCTCCTCCCCCCCCCCACAAAAAGCACTGACTACTACTGTGGGGCTGAGACAAGACAAAAAGAAAGGATCAAGTGCGTACCCAACAGCAAACTGGGCTGCGACATTGCTTGTGGATGTGAAATATAAAATGGACAAACCAAAAAAGTGCATCTGAAACAGAAATTCTGAGTGTTACATCTTCAATTATTCAAATTACTAAGAGGAATGAATATGACCTGCAACCCCCAATTTCAAGTTTTTAAGCCAGTTGCAGGGGGGGCGGAGGGAGAGGGGGAGATATGATAGAGGTCGATAAAGTCATGACTGGTGTGGAAAAAGTGAATAAGGTAAAGTTATTTACTTGCTCCCATAATGTAAGAACGAGGGATCAACAAATGAAATTAACAGGCAGCAGATTTAAAACAAACAAAAGGAAATTTTTCTTCACACAGAGCAGAGTCAACCTGTGGAACTCCTTGCCAAAGGATGTTGTGAAGACAGGACTTATACAGGGTTCAAAAAAGAGCTAGATACATTCATGGTGGTTAGGTCCATCTATGGCTATTAGCCATGATGGGGAGGAATGGTGTCCCTAGCCTGTGTTTCTCTGGAGGTGGGTAATAGGGGAGGGATCACGTGAGGATTACCTGTTGAGTCCCCTCCCTCTGGGGTATTGGCCACTGTTGGCAGACAGGTTACTGGGCTAGATGGACATTTGGTCTGACCCAGTATGGCCGTTCTTAAGATGAAATGGCATAATGAAGTATCAGCTGCAAACTCCTTTTCAACTCTTATCTACTGCAGCACCATTCTCACTTGCAACATAATGTAATCATGCAAGTCATGCCATAATTCTACTTTCACCACTAACAAGTGCCACATATTTACAATCCAACTTCTTGTAGCAAGACTGCAATTGGATATGTACATGATTCCTTCACGAATGCAGAAATCTTGCACCTTCCTTAAGAATACAAGTGCCCAAGTATTCTAAGAACTCAGTTCTTAACACAAAAGAAGGGAACCCTATGAATCTACAGCACTGCGCGATATGTGCAGCTGTAAGGCATCCATACCATTCTATCAAGTACCTCTTGGAGAATATAGGTTTCTCCTGCTTCCTTTAACTAGAAGGGACAAGGAAACTAAAATGGACGATGAGAAGCCAGAAGAGCTCACTTTAATGGCTTTTGCACTGATAAAGACAAAGGACTCAATGGCCTATTGCCTGAATACCACTGAATTGCAATGAGCAAAAGCAGATGATACCAAGCTGGGAGGGGTTGCGACTGCTCTGGAGGATAGGGTCATAATCCAAAATGTTCTGGACAAATTGGAGAAATGGTCTGAGGTAAACAGGATGAAGTTTAATGAAGACAAATGTAAAGTGCTCCACTTAGGAAAGAACAATCAGTTTCACACATACAGAATGGGAAGCGACTGTCTAGGAAGGAGTACAGCAGAAAGGCATCTAGGGGCTATAGTGGACCACAAGCTCAATATGAGTCAGCGGTGTGATGCTGTTGCAAAAAAAAAAAAAAAACCCAAACATGATTCTGGGCTGCATTAACAGGTGTATTGCGAGCAAGACAAGAGAAGTCATTCTTCAGTTCTACTCTGCGCTAGTTAGGCCTCAGTTGGAGTATTGTGTCCAGTTCCGGGCACCACATTTCAAGAAAGATGTGGAGAAATTGGAGAGGGTCCAGGGAAGAGCAACAAGAATGATTAAACGTCTAGAGAACATGACCTATGAAGGAAGGCTGAAAGAATTGGATTTGTTTAGTTTAGAAGAGAGAAGACTGAGGGTGGACATGATAGCTGTTTTCAGGTATCAAAAAGGGTGTCATAAGTAGGAGGGAGAAAACTTGTACATCTTGTCCTCTGAGGATAGAACGAGAAGCAATGGGCTTAAACTGCAGCAAGGGAGGTTTAGGCCTCAAGGCTGCCCGCTGCGAAGGAATTATGAAATTCTAGCAGCTAAAATCTGAAGCGTAATAAGCTCTTCCTATAAACTCGGGGCGTCTGTTGGCCTGCTGGCCACCCTCTGCGATGGGACCCCGGTCCTAGCAGTAAAGGCACGGACGTTAAACCTTTTCTCGGAAACATACACACACACACTGCCCTGACCGTCGGCTGACAGTAGGTTAGATAAATGTCTATCAGGGATGGTCTAGACAGTATCTGGTCCCTTCCAGTCCTAGTATTCTATGATTCTATGAAAGGGGATACTCAAACAGTTGCAGAACTCTTAGCTTGTTTTGGATCAATGCAAATCCTCCAAACATATTGTAGCCAGGCAGCCCCCCCCCATCTCAAACAATCTTGCTTGCCCTCTGAGATGTCTGTATACAGAGCAGAGAAGGAACAATAAGAAGATCAGCATAGCCATTAAGCTTTGATCTGCTTTGACCAGGATATGCAAGTTTCTGACTCTGAGTAACGATTAAGGAAATAAGCTAAGCTCGAGGCTGCAAGAAGTGTCAGGCTGTCACCTATGTTGATTCGAACACACACACAGTCCCTGAGAGGAATTTCCCACTGAGAAAACAATGTCCAGTACTTCCAATTTAATCATCTCAATTCTCTCTTACAAGTGTAAATTAAGTTCACAACTCCCTTGTAAGAACTGGTCTCACAGCAGACAGACCAGCACCAATTGGCATTACAGATAAGAAAGAGAAATACGTGACCTCATGATTATAAAAGATGGGCCCAGCACACACTCACTTTGAGTGTCATTCTACCCTCTACCTGCTGGTCGGGTTAGGTGTTTGACCTCCCGAGGTTCTATGGGGACGCCCACCTCGTATTTTCGTCTTTCCTAGGAATTGAGGGACCGGCCCTGGCCTGACATGCTGGAGTCGAGAGGCACAGAAGGGGGTAAAAATTGTACCTGGATGTGGTCCTCTGTCTTAAGTGTACACATAGAAAGAGTAAGCTGTTACTTGGTACCATTATTTCTATTTTTCTATCTTTATCTTCTTTGTAACCATTTTAAGATCTATATTTTGCTAGTAGTTAAGAAATAGAACAATAGCCATTGCAACCATATGATTTATAAGCTTCTTTAATAAACCTGTAACTGTTTAAGTTTTAACCTGACGCCTTCAGTTGCTGTAATAGAACCAAGCACAATTTAAAAGAACTTCAGCCGGTCTTAAGGTACCGATATAGGGAGCCCTGACCGTTGGCTGACACATATGCTACGACAGAAGAAGCAGATTAACCTCCTGAAACAGGAGGAGGAAACTCCACATTTCCTCCATGTCCCATAACATCAAAAATATAGTACCCAACACTTCGGGCAGGTTTGGTTCAAACGGACAAGAGTGCAAAAAGGAATAACAACTTTCATCTTTAAGTCACAGCAGATGATGAGAGGACACAAGAGACTTCAATTTTTTTCAACACTTTGCACAAGTTTCTTCAATCCCAAGGCGAATGTAAAAAATCAATTCAATTTATATACAACTGCCTTCAAAGTGAAGTGTTTTGTGACGTTGTCCTTATTTTATTTTTAGCGAGGAGCTGATTTAACTTTGAGACAATGGCTTAAATCCTATTCATCGAAGCCATATTCCTATGAAGGGCACTACAAGCCCACAACTCTGATTCAGAGCAATCAAGAATAGATGTTGTTGATGATTTTAAGATCTTTCCTTCCTCTTCGTAAGTAAAGGCAACACCTACAGTCAAAATATTCACTATATTCTATATATAAACTATATTCACTGTTTTGGTAGTGTTCATATTCTACTCGTGACCGAGTTCGCAATGAAGTAAACCAACAGCAAGAATGAAATTCAAGAAGTTGCTGAAAGCAGGTACAGTGAAATGCAACAGGCTGGGCTTACAGCGAGATCCACTGACAATCAACGGAACTGAAACCACCACTTGGCTGAGCTCCAAAGAGATGGGAGGATTTTATCATGAAAAGGCATGGCCGCACTAGGAGAAGGAAGAAGATATGACAAGAATACATTGATCACCACACATCTTCCCATCTATTATGATCCATCAAGATGAATGTCCTCCTGGAGAATTTGAATGGCCTACTTAATATATTCAGACTGTTCTGCCAGACTCAGCACCTCCATACGTAAAGATTATACAATGTCCCTTATGAAATGCAGCCTAATCCACACTTGCCAGTACTATCTACTCTGTGAGTGACGCTATCAATTAAAGGGTACTTGACAGTACTCAATCTAATCAAGTGAGATACCTTTATCTGATTTACTAATATCTTCTAGGATCATGATCCCAAGGTGTATAACTAGAAATATGCAACAAAACACTCCAATTTCAAGCATCAGGTCCTCTTAATGTAAATGATAACAGTGGAAGAACTCACTGGGTACAATATACTTCCAGAGGATGCTATCAGAGCATGATAAGGACAAGCCATTCAAACATGTACATTTCGCCCAACCAGGATTATCTAGGAAGTTACACTTTTCTAAAAATTCTTATGATCAGATTTAAAATGATCTTCAAAACTTCTCCCAGGACTTGTGATTTCTCTGTTTCACTATTTGCTCATGATTACTTTAAGAATAAAGCTGGCTATGATTTGTCTAATAATTAGGTAAAGTTCTAATCTACAACAAGAGGACTTAATTTCTGGCTTGCCAGGGATTGGGACTATCAGAAATTAAACAGTGTTCCAGTGTAAGAGACAGGAGGCAGTGAGAGGGGACATTAGGAAGACAGAACACTGTCAAAAAGCCAAATATTACATCTACAAAGACGACAGTCCACTGGTCTCAAATATTCATAAAAATATCTTGTGTGCGCCCTTAAAACGATCTCTAATTCAGTAGACAGATTTGACATCCTGACTGATTTAGACAGTGCAAAAGCTAGGCATAATTAACATAGCCAAATATACACCAAGTGCCACACATGAAATGAGGCTATTACAGCTTTTATATTTTACAACTCAAATTCATTGCCTAGATGAGAATACACTAAGAGAGACTATGGAGTAATACACTAGTAGCAACAGTAATTATGATGTTAACATTAGTAACATTTACAAAAGTGAAGATTTTCTCACACCCACATTTTGAGGAATCACAGGCTCTTAAAAAAAATCACATCTCATATACTGTTGGGAGCAAAGGCACTGGTGATTTGCAGCTAAGATCAGGGGTGGGCAATAATTTTTTGTGGGGGGCTACTCAAATTTTGCTCAGTGGCTAAGGGCTGCACTTTTCTATGGAGGAGATGCAGGGTCTGGGATGGAGGTTGCAGAAAGGAGCTGGGAGTAGGGGATAGGGGTACAAGAGAGGGTGTTGGGTCTGAGAGGGAGTTTGGGTTAAGGATGAGGTTCACAGCGCACAAAGCTTCCTCCAACTTGCAGTGCAGAGACACAGATGGAGCAGCCAGCTACTCCGAGCCCTGGAGCTGCTCCCTACCCCTAGGTCCAGTTGGGTGGGCCCTGGGCCAGACTGAATGGGTTGGGGGGCCAGATCCAAGCCCCAGGCTGTATCTTGCCCACCCCTGAGCTCAATAAACACCCCATGGCCCATGCCCTGGAAACCTGGACTAGATGACTTCAGGAGTCTCTTCAGCTCTCATACCTACAAATTAAATTCCAGAAGCTTGAGATGAGGGGGAAGGGTGGACAAGTTGCTCTAGGTCACCGTCTTCAATAGAATGAGATAATTACAGTAGATGCTTACCTTCAGAAAACTGCTGCCTTCTAACTTTTCATATTGAGACTATGAGAAGTTGAGCTTTGAGAGCTTATCTTAAATCCAGAATCTGATTTTCTTTTAGTGAGGCGCTGATTTTACTTAATGTCTATACTGACTGATGAATAAGAAAGTCAACTGGGCCTTCTAAGATCCCAGGGTGAATCTCAGTGGCTCATCCCACATTAGAAGCTTGGCTGTAGCCATCTGACTGCCTAGCTTCCTAAAACATCTTCCTTTACTCTTCATCACATAGAACATTATGTGCTACACTTAGAGCAGGATGGTGTTTAATTACTTTACCTGGGAATAGAAAGCTTTATAGATCCTTGATTTTGGGAAAAGTCCAATCATCAGGCAGTTGCTTGGGGTATGGAACTGAACTGGCAGATGAGGAAGCAAAGAACTTTTGAAATCTATAAAAAGAGCAGCCACAACAGTAGTAGAGTCCTGGAAAGGAAATAAAAGGAAGTTTTACAATAAATCATTGATCATTCAAACTGAAAAATTGCATCATTTTTAAGCATACCCAGTATTGCCTTGCCAAGCTATAGTATTTTATAGTCGCATTTACTGTGCGTCCTTTCAAGTCTGCAAAAGCTATGCCAAAAGAGTTTCAGTATAGATACATAGCAGAAAGACCCACCATAATCAGCAGTTGGACTTTTAGAGGCTCAATCACAGGTGAGGCGTAAGCACTGTCTAAGAGTTAAATCTCCATTTTGAAGCATTCAGCTGTGGCTTTGAGGTTCAGGGAACCCACCATCATCCTTTTCCTGTTTTGCCCTTCACTAGTGGTTCCCCATAGTTCTCTGCCGGCACAGCTCCTTTGATAGTATCAATGGCAAAATGTGTACTACTGAAGGTTAAATGACTACCATGGTGCTAAGTCAGGCAAGCTTCCCTTACACAACAGATTTCACAATTATTACTATGAGAGGAACTATGCCAGCAGTGAAGTACTACAAGGCTACAAGGTTTGCCAGCAGACATGCAGCATCTAAGTGTATTCCAAGAGCCATGTTTATCTCATAAAGCCCCCTACAGACCTGAAGTTCAAATAAATAAAGTCTAGCATCACTACTGCCAAAATTCTATTCCGGTATGCGAACAGGAAATTGTAGCTAATGAGATTCCTGTTCCCTAGGGCTCATTAAAACAGGATTCTTGTCAATTTTCCATCTCATTTTGTTTTAATAAGATTTATGTTGTATTTGCATCCAACAAATCTCAAAATGCTTCTACAAACATTCATTAGGCCTCAGAATCCTGCAATGAAGATAATTTTAGCTCTACTTTACAGAAGTAGAAAGTAAGGTTAATTCACTCGTCATGCAGGATATTAGTGATGGTCCTTTTCAAATAATGTGGCACCCAGCCACCTTGCTCAACACAATAAAATAGGTACAGCCTAATGAAGTTTTGTGTCTGTGTATTCATCATCAAAAACACTGCATCCCAGGAGAATTGCTGGTGTTCAGCCTAGAGATGGAAGTCTAGTACTGTAGGTCTCGCCTCTGACAGCTAGTAGACAAAAAAAAAAAAAAAAAAAAAAAAAAATCCCAGTTTTATTTTGCAGTATCCTACTAATGATAACTGAGAAGGAAACAAGTTTTAGACTGTCCAATATTTAAATATGAACTCCTTCAGTCTGGGGAAGTCTTCATAGCTGTCAACAAGAAGAATTTCTACCTGAGCTGCTGAACACAGATTACTCAAGAGAGAAAGTTTGTGATGATTTTTACATAATCTTCCTGGATGTCAAAAACTACCACATTACTTTTTTTCTTTCAAGATGCAATTATTTCACATAGTATAGTGCAACAAGGCTCAGAAGTACTCCATTCTCCCCACCTCTCTTATGTAAGACCGGAGCTTCACAACCCATGAAGTATGACCTAGAAGTGAATTTGTGGGTCACGTCCCCATCTCAACTGAGTTGTGGTGTCCATTGCTTCTGTTGAGCTGCACCACTACCGATAGCAGCACCACCACATCAGTGAATGTGGAACAATCCAATTGTGGAAATGGGACCATACACATGGCTTAAGAGAGTGACAAGTCAGCAGCAACAGTTTGGAACACCATATCAAGAGGCAAATTATTTTAACCAGAGAAGATTGAAGTTTCATGTTTATTGACCATGACAAATTTCCGAAGCCAGTTGTGTGTCATGTGACTATCTTTGCTTTAAAATGTGATAAACTTAATCAAGGTTTACAGAAGCTTCCAAAACATATAGCAGTATACCAGGAAGATGTCTTTTCTGAAATAAAGAGAATAAAGCTTGCTAGCCCCGCTAAGTGCTATTCAAAAGGTTAATAATGACAAAAAGCCTTCAAGTTTACCTTCACAGTTCCTTCAAAAACTACTAAAACAATGAATTCTCACAATTGGTGAGGGGTCAGTCCTACACATGCATTATTTATGTTGATGAAATGAAGCTAGACAAAAATTCTAGATGTAGTACCATTAGAGATTAGCCATATTTGAACTTCAATTCTGAACTCAAATTTAAGAAATAATCTTACAAGTAAATGCCAGATGATTCAAGAGATACCTAAAGCCTGCACTGCAATATGATGTTTCTGTATTTATGTATTGCTTTTGTTCACTTTTTGAAATGTGAATGAAGTTTGAGAAATGTTTCTAGTGCATACCTGAAGTTTCAATTATGAGAGCCACAGCTCAAACATTAATGTGTGCTGTCATGTTTCTTTTATATTACCCTTTCTGCCATGCATTTTTTGCAGTTTATAGTTTACTACTACCTTCCCATACTTTTAGTCTGAAGTCATAGCAATAATCCTCCTCTAACTAGAATGGAAAACAGATGGCTATCTTCAGAGAAGACCATCAACATTTTAAAAGAAGGTGGCCAAGACCATGTTCACTCACTGGAAATTAAGTGACATGTCATAGGAGTGGGCGTTTCAAATCAACTTCCAATTAGGGATGTTAAATTGTGGGTAATAAGCTAATCGACTAGTTGATGGAATTTCACTGCGGCTGTGCCTTTACATGTATTAAGAGCCGCCTGGTCCCAGACTCTGCGCTTCTGCTTTTTAAATGTATTAAGAGCCGTCAAGCTCTTAATACATATAAAAGGCAGAGGAGCAGCTGGGCAACCAGGCAAAGCCGGGAATCAACTGTCCCAGCTCACTCCCAGTTCCCCCCAACTCTGCAATGCGCCTCTGCTTTTTAAATAGTATTAAGAGCCAGGTAGCTCTTAATACATTTAAAAAAGCAGAGGTGCAGCATCTGGGACCAGGTGTGAGCCGGGATTCAGCTGATTCCCAGCTTGTGCCAGGTCCCCCGCTACGCCTCCACTTCCTTTGTCCCGCCTGAGATGGTGCTGGGGGGAACCGATTTTTAAGCTAGCTCCCCCCAGCATCAGCTCCTGCTCCCCGCTGCCTTGCTGCCTCTCTGACAGAGGCAGCAAGGGATGGGGAAAGCGAGTAGTCGAGTCACTACTCAATAAGCATATGTTTATCGAGTAGTCGACTGGTCGCTTACATCCCTACTTCCAGTCCCGTGACTGTTCAGTTGACAATTTTTTTAAGAATTAGTTAAAATTAGAAATTCAAATAAAAAAAATCTATATTCAGAATTTTATAAGAGGTGTGCATTACTTTGAGGGTAATGTGCTCGTTTACTATAGTGTCTCACATGGAAGCACAAAAGATTATTCTTTCCATCTACATTATTGTTACACTTCACCTTTTAAAAACAGTGCACTAACAATCCCCTCATCCTTGTCACGTTTTAATATTTTTAGCTCTCCACCCTCGCTTCATGCCAAGTCAGTTAAACAATAAAATTCTCCTTCAAGGTTTTGCTTTGCACTCAAACTTGGCCATAGTTCAAAAACGATAGCCAGACTCCATAAATAGCCCAACTTCTATAAAAGTGAGCATCTTGAATTGCACAATAGAAGGAAGGTCAGTGTTAAAATTGCTTATATAACTACAGAGAGTCAGTCAAGATGGTATTAAAGAAAAGGCAGTCAAGATGGTATTAAAGAAAAGGCAGCTAAGGTAAGGGTCTCTTTACTGTAGTGCTTTTCAACTTAAAGTACACACCTTTCTTATATTTTACTTTTTTTTAAAAACTTCACAAAATCCTATCTACACAACGCTCTCTAGAGCTTCCTGTACAGTTATTTAAAGAACTTGAGACTGAAGAAACAGGTGCTTTTCTCTATAGAGCACATATGAAACTTTGTGCTCATCCAAAGTCATCTTCCATTACCCTTCTCAGTGGTAAGTTATGAAAACAAGACAGTACTGTAGTTAAAACAGATCTGCCTAACTTGAAGTGGCATTGTCCACACTAACCCAATTCTTAATTTCCAGAAGTCACCCCACAGCAGCACATCAGAAACATCATATATTAAACATGGCCAGTCATCATGTAATGGACCAACAATTCGGTCAGAAAGAGGCAGGAGCCACTGTCTGCTAAAATAATGGCTCATGTATTTTACTGAAATACACGTAACAATGAAGCATGCCTTTCTTCCTCACTCTTCACAGCCCGGGAAAGGTGAACCAATCACGCCTTTCACATTGCCAGTTACATGATACTCTCCAGCAGCAGATAAAGACATGCCTCATGACCTTTTAAATGATAAGCGGTACACTACTAAGAACATCTGACTCAAGATTAAAAACGTTTGGTATAAAAACATTTGTAGCACTTCAGCTACAAATAAATTATGTGACTGGAGCTATGACAGAAACGAAAAATCTTGTTGAAATAAGCTGGTCAGAAGTATAAAGCTGTAAAATAAATTTTGTTCTCATTTGCTGTTGTTACTTTAAATAATTTCTCGCTAGTCTTAATAAATGGAGTGCATAAAGTAAAGCTAGCAGTCCCAACTACAAAGATCCAGAATGACGTTCCTGTGCTACAATCCTGTCCTCCGTACATTTCAACAATGATGAAAGTACCATAAAACTAATACAAAAAGAGTAGGAATTTGTTCAGAAAGCATCCAGACAGCTTTCTGCTCGAGGTCAATAATGTTCTGCACGGTCTTGCAAACGACATCAGATTCAAACATGGTTTTGCTAGTTCCTTCATAAATACCTTTGTAAAATGGATTAAAGACTATCTAGGATAATAACTGCAAACAACTTATGCACTTACCCCATCGTAGAACTTAATGGAATTCATATGATTCTTTGACACAGTAATGCTTCCGTGATGGGGATGGGAAAACAGAATGCCACCTGAAAAGAAGTATACTTTGCCTATAATTGAAAAAAGGAAAGATTATTAAGGTATGCAACACACCACCACATGGCAGTATCTAATGACTCTTTTTCAAGAAAATCATGTTCGGGTTTTACAATATGATGCAATTGGTGTTTCAGTCCAAAATACTATCTTATGCAACAAAAGGAGAAATAACGCACTATAGAGGAAGATACTCCAGATAATCTGTCCCCAGAATTCATTTTTACCAGCTATTTTAGATTTGGTCAGGGAAGGAAACCCTTCAAGAAAACAGCCATACAATGTCTCTGCTAATCTAGTTCATCCATGTACATATTTTTTCCATTCATGCATGGAATACATTTTTCTGTGCACCAAGCCATGTGTCAATGTGCACCACCATTATAAACAAAAACTTAGCTGTAAGTGTTCTTCTAATTGGTTAGGTGGCAGCTGAATCTCTCCTGCATAAGCATACTGCTTACAAGGAACACTGCTGCCATATTGTGTAAGTTCTACTCAAAGGAATTTTTAAAAACCATTTTTGGAGGCTTTAAGAAAAAAAATCCATTAATAATTAACTGCAAAACTGAGGGAAAACAGTGAACAAAGAATAGGAGAGAGAGAAAAACCAAGATGGGCATGATTTCTGTGTTTCACATTTCATGAGATTTTTATATATTATATATAGTGGCAAATTTCTGGCGGTGCCCCAAGGGTCCTACGCTCCTTAGGTAATGGTTATATGCCTCAGAGCTCGCTGCAACCCTCTACGCTGCCTCTTATGTTTTTCTAGAGGTCAGGGTACAGCTTATTGCGCCATTTTCACCATTGGTCAAGTCAATGAACGAGGAGGAGGAGATGCCTCCATAATTCCTGGACCACATCCTCCCTGAATTAGTTCTCTCTGTCGTGTGGGGAGGAACCCGGGTCCACCGACTGCTCTGGGTTCTAGCCCAGGGACCCTAGGCTGTGGAAACTGCTCGGGTTTTTCCCTCTAGACCTAAAACAGCAGCCTTCTTCTTGGGCCACTTCCCCAAATGCTCCCCTAATACCTTTCCTCTGGTATCTGACTGAATCGTTCCTTCTCAGCTTCCCCGCAAACACACTTCCTCCTCAGTCTGTCCCTCTTCTCCTTGCCCCTGCCTTACCTGAGGGAAACCTTTTATAGCAGTTCCCCTGGCTTTAATTGGCTGCTGGTGTCTGATTAGCCTGCTCCTTCAGGCCAGCTATTAACTAGCCTCGGGTCCGCCTGCCTTAGTTATGTGGCAGCAGACAGTTTATTCAGGGAATAGAAACGGTTTATCCAGCACCCTGTGTATTTGCCCTTTAGTAGCGTGTGACAGCCAGCTAGTTTGGGTTTGTCACAATATATATGAAAAATATAAATAAAATATGTATTAACATGATATTTTCCATAAAAGAGCCAACATCTGATACCTCAAGGAAAAATTTTAAAATAGTCCCAATATTCTTGGGACATGACAGTGTCACTATATAGAATTAATATTTCAGCATAATAAAAGGCAGGAAACAGGTTCTATTTTTTCTTTCACCAAACCTTAACACCACCTTGGCTGTTAGTAGATATTAATTATCAAACATTACAAAATACAGTTCCTTTGCTTTATTCACAGACTCATTCATCTTCATGTGCAGCATAAAACTTAGCATTTTGGTCAGCACTTTTTAAACTTGCTGGTTTTCCAGCAAGACTCGATGGGTCACCCAATACTGTCTCCACCTCCTACTTTCCAACTGATTCTACAGGCACCAAAGGTCTTAAGAAAAGACCTGGATGGCCTGTGAAAGCAGAAGGAAAAAGAGGAGACAGCGTATAAAGCACAACAGCTAGATAAAAACAATCCTAAAGGAGCTCTGCTATTAAATAAAAGGAAAAGGAATAGAACTACCAGCTGACAGTAGCAAAACTGCTCCTGCTAGCCACAACAGAAGCCAACATACAACAGGAAGTACTAATGCGCCCCTCAGCACTTCTGCTAGCCCTTTCATCCTGGGGGAGAAGAGAGCAGTCTAGACAGGAAAGCACAAATGAGGAAGAAAGTAAAAGAATGTTTAAGAGGAGTAGGGAAAAATGTATGGGGAAGACTAAATTCAGCCAAAGGTAAGGAAGAGAATTGAGATGAAGGATTAATTATGACATACATGACCCATATAATTTACCAAAATATGGTAAAATGCAACAATCAGTGTCTTAATACCTTCTATCTTGAAAGAGAACCAACCACAAATTTACAGTCACAAAATCAACAACATTCTATTGTTAAAAAAAAAAAAAAGCATCAAAGTACAAGTAGTAAATTCATAGTAGAACTAGCCAGCTAAAGTAACATTCTTGGAACTGCCTCGAACATCACAGCCTTTTGATTTGTAATATTTTAAATTACATAGGTAATCATACTAGCTTTGAAGTTTGTATTTATATTTTCTATGAATACCCTCTCATTCCTCTTATGCTTGTGACTCCAATGCAGAAAGATCAATAATATGGAGTACCTCTGATGAATACAATAGGGAGACTAAAAAAATTACAAGTCTAAGGCCAAAAGGCAGAGCACAATGAAGAGAGACACGCAGTCTAGCCTTCAAATGAGTATTAGTTATTCATGCCTTGGGACAATGGCATTCACTGTTCAATACAGTGGCCGGATGCACGTAAATTACTCAGATGTCTGACTGTGGATATTTAGGAACAGTTTCATTACTCTTGAGGCTAACAAAACCAAGCACATGTGTCTTTTCTTGGGTGTTTGAGAAAAGAAAGCAAGGTATATTTCATTTATGATATTCTTAGTCACAGAAACCTCAAAGGATCTTGCATGTCCCAGAAGGCAAGCAACAAAACTACAAGCAAGTCAAAATAAGGCACTGGTTGAAGGGAATGAATTTATCAACGATTGCAGTGGATTCTCCATCAATGTCAAAATTGTAAATCGCCATTGGATATTTTTTTTCCTAAAACGTCTGCCCTCGGAATTAGTTTTGGGGAAAATCTATAGCCTGTGTTATACAGAATCAGACTAGATAATGACAATGGTGCCTTCTGGCCTTGGAATCTATGAATCTGCTATTAGAGCTTCTAGAACCAAAAAAAGTAAGCCCAGAAAGAAGTAGGACTTAGCCCTTACCCAAACTCAGTGGGTCAGAAAAACATCCATGTCACCCAATTACCTCACACCACCATTTTGATAGCACCCTAATTTCACTTTTATCCAATTCTTAATATGGCAAAGAATGTCTTTTTAATTGGCATGGTCCTATCAATTAGTTCAAAATCCAAGAATTTTTAAGCACCACAAATATAACCCTGAAACAGTAGGAAAAACTTCTGAACATATTGGAATTCAAGTCATTCGTATACGGAGAGAATTCTGGAAAAAAGTATTTGAGATTTCAGTTTGAGTGAATTGAGTCTTCATTTAAGCAAGAGACTCATAGCATTGAAATGAGCCAAACACACAGTAACCAGTACTACAGAAGCTTTCCACATAGTTCTCTGTAGGGTGTGCCCACGCAGAAGGAAATGAAGATCCAGGCATCTAGTTAGCAAAACCATAGGTATGGTAGTGGTTCCACTAATTAGGTGACTCTGGAACCCAGAAGAACATGTTTGAAGTGTGCTGGGAGCAGGGGGAAAGTGGGGGACAGGAAGAATACAGGAGTGGATGAGGATCAGGTAGGGTTGGGGACTAAGTCTGGGGCATCCTACTCCCCGCCTGGCTGTCACAGGCAGCCCGGATAAGACCCTGTTACAGAAGCAACCAGCAGGCAAAGGAGCATCCAAAGCTATTTTAGCCCAAGCTGAACTGCCTGGAGGATCTGGGAGACACTGAAAGTCTCAGCTCTGCCAGGTGTCTTAAGGGGAAGCAGGTAGAAGAGACTCCACCTCTGTTTCAGTTCCAGTTGGGCTGGGAGAAACTCAAACTCCCAGCTCCAGATGCACTGGGGAGCAGACAGAGAGTTTGTTTCAGTTTTAGCTCCAGCTGCGCTGCCTGGGGGATGGGAAACACTTCCCCAAGCTCCAGATGCTTTGGGACAGAAGGCAGAGTGGGGTGGGATTCCCTTTGAGCCCCAGCTGGGCTGTGGGAACGGGGAGGAGAGAGACCTTCTGGCTGGAGAGTAACTCCAATAACTGTGGCTTGTTTTTGAAAAGGAATCTAAACTCTTGTATTTTTAATCTATCATGTCTGAGCTCAGTTCAGGGGCTATAGTTGTCCTGGCCAGGAGGGATGGCTCTTCCTCCCAGAATTCTAAAATTTAATGGAAATCACTTGGATACCAGATAAGCGATTTCCATTATGTTCTAGAATTTGTTTGGGGACAAATACTGAAAACCATTAAGGCCAGATCTTGGTTATCTAATGCAGTTTTGGCTCTTCTGAGTACTTCAGTGACTCATGAGTAACAAGCACTAGATTTAGTTTTATACTTTGTAGGATGAAGACCTTATTTGCAAACTCCAAAGCCACGTGGCAAGGTGCTCCATTTCCTTAAGGCAAGGTCCCTCTAAGGAAGGACCTAGTTCACTACATGATTCACACCTCCTAGTTTTGTGTAAATACTAAGAAGGCTGAACAGTTCTTGAATATTTAAACAACAAAAACACTCACCTTCCTCAGGCATAGCCTGCAAACTGCTAGAATAAATATATGCTCCATCACCTCCTGTGAGAAAAGCGCCCAGGAAGGATTCATCTTCCTAAAAAGGAAAAGAATGTTTTACAGTAATTTTATAATGTGATGGTGACTATTCATTCTTAACCTGAGCAAGTTTTATCCTGCTTCACATGCTAGATTTATGTTACACAGTAAGAGGATGGTTTTGCATTAAAATATACCATCCTCCTACAAGAGAAAGGATTGGCTTACAGGGTCTGAGAAGTGGTATGGGGCAGCCAGAAGGAACCACCAATGGTAGATGCAAGATTGTTTTGGAGGCGTGGGCAGGGCCCAAAGTTTCACCCTCCCCCTTGTGCAGAAAGGTATATGGATCAATTGCTCTGAGGTTGCTCCCAGCCTCAGTGTCTTGGCGGAGCAGCTACAGGCTGGACTGAAAGACTTGGAGAGTCGGATCCGGCTTGCAGGCTGCATCCTGCTTGCTCCTGATTTAATGGCACCTCAAAGATCTGGAATATCATTTTAAAAAGTAATTCTCCCCAGCACGGTTTTGTAAAATGAAACCTATTCAATTATTTTTCATATTCATAGAGAATAGCTTTTAATTGTTATATGGCCAGTCTATTGAACTAAAAACATGTTATACAGTTTAATAGGAACATAAATTACAAGAATATACTTCCATTGAAGGGTTCTGGCATCTGCAAATTAAGTCGCAGATGCAAAATCGAGGTACTGTAGATGCTTCCAGATGCATACTTTTTATATGTTCTAAATATTTTTATTTATTTCAGGCATCTAGCCTGCTATAAATTTTTTAAAAATACATATAATAGTAGTGGTCTTTTCAGTGCATATTTTTGATAACTGAACTCAAGGGGTAATGTTATTTAAATTGCCAAGCAGTCTGAGTAACAGAACTCTTTTTGGTGTTGGTTTTTAGCTGCTTATTTGTAATAAAGAAAACCCAGAACTGAGTTTGTCATATTCACTGTTATTTTATATAATGCAGTTTGAAGGTAGGGGAGGGAGAAATAGGAGAAAAAGAACTTCCTTATCTACAGGAAAAAATATTATATTAGTACATATTATCTGTGACTATGACATCTTCAAAACATCACCTTTACGCTTTGCCTAAATAAGCTTACCTTGGATTATCAGTTAGTTTAAACACTATATCATTACACACCTTCACTATTTGCTGCGCCTTTTCAGACAGTTTCACTTCATTATCTTCAACCTGCAGGCAAGACCAAATTGCATTTTCCATTTATAGTCACTGTGGATTAATGATCTGATTTTAAACTTGCTTTAATAATAAAAATGCTGCTCAACATTCATAGGAAACAAATTCCCTTTAGTGGCAGCACTGGGTGACTAATGAAATTTAAAGGCGGGGGAGGGAGGACTAGATTCTGTACTTTGCAAAGCCTCCTTTGCTCCTTTCCAATTCTGTGCTGCTGTGAGGGACAAAAGGGCTCTCAGAAAAATTCTGATATTCAAGGGATTGCTCCAGTCGTAGTCGCCTTTCAAGACCAAAGTGGCATAAAAGAAAAATCCTTCCTCAGATAAGGGATCAGATACTCCGATGATGTAAATCAGCACAGCACCACTCTTTTCAGAGGAGCTACACACACTCAGAATCTGGCCTCAAACCCTCAATTTTCAGAAGAGGTTCTACACTGATAAGTCATGTTACATAGCCATGTGCTATAAAATGCCACACAATGAATTCACTGTTGGAAGTTACAGAACACATCTCAAAAAACAGACCTCTCAGCTTGGATAAACTTTACAGCAGTTACTTGTGTGTATGAATGATGGCCGGACTAGATACCTTCAGAATAAGCTCATTTTCAGATGTAGTTTAAGAAGTATTCACATATACTTTATACATTTACCTATTTTTTCTTCTGGGTGGAATGCATTTACAAAACTTTTAAGGTATGAAGTATTTGAGTTGCTTTATACTAACCAGCCAAGAAACGTATCTTGGGATAGCTGCAGTCAGAATGATGTAGCTGGTTTCTGTATTAATACTGCCATCTGTAGGAAAGCCAACATAAACCATAAAACATAAGTGCTATGCTATCTATTTAAATAGCTCATCAAACCACCTGAACTGCCCTATTGGTCTTCAGTTCCAACAACTAGAACTTCAAGCTGCTATCAGTTTACCTATAAAATATCAATTCCCACAACTCACGTTCCCTACATGACAGAATCTCCACCCTTTTTAGTACAGAATCCTGGAGACCTGCATGGTCCAGACCAGGGAATTTGCCAGACCAGGGGAGGTCAATGCACTCGGGTCTCCACATTTCCTCTTGGCCATCCGCTGCTGCCCAGGGCTCCACTTTTCCCCCCCATAGCTCTGCTGCCGCTGCTCTCCCCAACAGCTCAGTGCCTGGAGTTATGCGCTCTGCCCGGCAGCCCTGCTGCCTCGAAGGACTCTCCCCAGCAGATCCGCTGCCGCCTGGGACTCCCGCGCTCCACCTGTTCTAATCGGGGCAATGCTCCTGGTCCCACAGGGTCACCCCAACAATACCGGACCAGGAGAGTTACCGGACTAGGGAAATCCAGATTAGGGAGTGTCAACCTGTACCATCACACATCCATCAAAGCACATTTAACCGTCCTGGTTTCTCTCTAGTATTCTCATTTGCTTTTTCCTTTTTGCAAACACCCTCAACCCTTCTATTAATTTTCTCCCTAACTCCCATTATTTCCTGGTCTAAAAATGCTGCTTTTATTTTCTCTCTCCTCTTGTGGGCTGGGGGAAGCAGGAGGAAATGGAGCCCAGCTTTGGGAAAGGAAAAAGCATTCCTGACCAAAATTAAACCAAACACTTCCAAATATATATTGGTATTAGTTTAAGAGTTAGCAATGCACCAAGAATCAGAAAACAAAAATGAAACAAAACACACACAAAAACACTCCTGAGCCGGCAAAAAAGGAGTTCTACCTGGATAGAACTCCATGTTTTGACCAAATTTTCTATCTTATGCAAAAGGAATTCTTAACACAAATGACTACAGTATTACCAAAACCTTTGGGTTTTTCCACTCTGGCATTGTAAAAAATATCTAGTGGGGTTTCAAGTTGGCTGAAGGTTACCTACTATCCCCTATTTTAAAACAAGTCTGTCTACAAAGCAAACAAATGTTGCATCCTTTTCATTTTAATTTTCATGTACTTGTTTCTAACTTCAAGGTAAATACTACAGGGTAGGAAAAAAAACCTATATTTGCAACAACAAAAGGGATAAGGAAGGTAAATCGGCTGCTCCTATTTGTCTTATTTTTTAATACAAAAACAAATGAATAGTCAATAGAACAAAGACTGAGAAGGCAATTTTGCACGAGATTCTTTTGTCTAACAATCCTATTAAGCTTATAGTAGAAGTGAACAAATCCTTCCGATTAGTTTAGAGAAGACACAAATGTTATTTTGTCCCTTATACAACCGGATTACTTAGATTATTTGCCAATTCAAAAATTGTATAGTTAGGTCTTTACTTACTAAAATCGTCAAAATAGCAGTGGTAACAAGTTATTTTCTTTACCTATTTCAGACTATGAATTGATTAAAAAACTCCCATCGATACACATAATGTGCATGCAAAAGCTTGAAACAGCTGAAAGAGTTACCTTTTTCTTTTATAAATATCTGTGATGTCAGAAAGGATTCCGAGAAGACTACAGATCCCAAGCATCCCCTTCCTCCTAGCAAATCTGGAATGTCATATATTGTCATATTCGCCTGTAGCAAATTGAGAGGAATAGGGTGGGTGGGGGAAGAAGAGTCTTTTATAAATTATCTAAAAATGCTGTTAGTGTAAAAGCAACAACAGTTTAAATTTGAGCTTCTTAAGATATTACTTTTCCACAAACAAATGGGAACAGAGAGCCCCGGGATTTTAACAAACCTAACTACAGTGTTGCCACAAATCTCTCAAACCTCACAGCTCAAAACTCAATTGTCTCTCACTCAGCATTAATCTGAAAATGTAGTCTTGGTACCCCACCATCCTTATTTCTAAATATGCCACTTGATTTGTAATCACAGGTATAAACTAACCAGCACTAATATAGAAACTAGGCTAGTTTACAGTGGGAATTAACAAGAACTGTTCAGTTCTATTTACAGAGTTCACATAAGTTCTCCTGGAACAAATTAATGAGATCACGGCTCAAGAGAAAACATCTTGCTTTAGCTCAAACTTTTAACTCTAATAACCAATTTCTCAAATACAGCACCTGCAAAGGAACAATTAAATGTTTCATGCAGTAAAATATTATCCCATCTCTTAGTACATGAGGTCTATTTATGCAGATATGGAAAAACAGCCATAAGAGCTGACAGAGAAGAGACTTCAGGACCAAGAGATAAGCAAGGACTAAATCAATTAAAGAGCTGCAACGTGATAGAAATACTTCGACTGATATGATAGGAAGCTGTTTATTTCTACCATTGTATCAGTCTCATCTCACAGGCTGCATTTAGACTGGCAAGTTTCTCCGCAAAAGCAACTGCTTTGGCGGAAAAACTTGCCAGCTGTCTACACTGGCCGCTGATTTTGCGCAAAAGCATCCGTGCCAATCTAGGTGTGGTTTTGCTCAAGAAAGCCCCGATGGCCATTTTCGCCATCGGGGCTTTTTTGTGCAAAACAGTTTTTAGCTGTCTACACTGGCCGCTGATTTTGCGCAAAAGCATTTTTTGCGGAAAAGCATCCGTGCCAATCTAGACGCTCTTTTCCGAAAATGCTTTTAACTGAAAAACTTTTCCGTTAAAAGCATTTGCAGAAAATCATGCCAGTCTAGACGTAGCCAATGTGTATCTTCCAGAGGCATTCCTTTGTAGTTTGAAGAGACTGAAGAAAGAAGCCACAATTTCCATTGGTCATTTGTTCAATGGTCAGTCACTTCCACTGTTAAAAATGTATGCCTCACTTCTAATTTTCATTAGTCTGTCTTTTATTTCTAGCCTTTGGTTCTTGCCTTTAAAGAGTCCTTCAGTATTTAAAATGTTTAGCACGAAATAAAACAAGTTCCATGCACAGACCTTAAAGCTCTTCGAAGAGATAAATGTCATTACTATTTACATATGGGGAAAGGACAACAAGGAATTTAAGTGTGTCATTCAAGACCTCACAAATATATCAAGGACAAGAACTCTGGTCTCAAGCCCAGGTTCCCTGCCCGACTGGGTCAGGTTCCCAAACTCCATCAGGAGCTAACAAAAAGCAATTGAATCATCTCACTACCAATTCTTGCATCAAAAATCCATCTAGCCAAGACAACACAGATTTGTTAATTTGCTAGAAGTCAAAAATCTTACAAAACAAGTCTATCTAATCCCTTGCTGTACATTTTGAGATCTTAAGTGATGTTTTTAGACAGACCTTTACATTTAAATATAGTCGTTCACCTTGGCAGATTATAATTACATTTAGAAATGCACATTGTTGGAAATTATCACACAGAACTGGACAGCTCTACTCACAGTTTTAACTAAGTACAGGCTATCCTCATTATCCAGTGGAATAATTCTAGAACAGAATAATAATTCAATATTTAAAGACTAGATAATTTTACAATACCCACCCAAAATAACTATGTCTACTGAAAGTGTTCTATCCCTCAATGGGATTTTTAGTATAAAATGCCGTTATAATTTGGTTTTAGATAGTGTGGCAAAACATAAAATGCCATAAGTCTGAGAAAAAAAAAAAAACTTCCTTCAAATGTAGTTTAAATGAAATCTTTGAATGTACTCCTGCTGCTCCTATATATTAACAGAGCTAATAAAGATGTTCAGCACAGCTGTTTCATTTTTAAAGTGCTACTCAGATGCCATAAAACTATAAGTGCACACAGAAGGATAACAAACCATTAAGTTGCTTCCATATACAAAAGCTAAGGCATTTAGTGCTTGCCCTCATCTGCTACAAACTTCAAGATGGTAATGTCTTCTATAACGCATTTTGTAAAGACTAAAAATGCATGGTTTGCTCCTGAGTAGCATTAAAATTACTTATTTCCCCATAAGGAACAGAAACAAATACTGACCTTCCATGACTGTTCACAGCTTGAATCTGAAAAGCTATTTTGGAACTGTGTATAAAAATCAAGCAAGAGCATCCAGTTAAAATGATGTTTTTCTTCTTAGAAATCTGCTAATGACTAAGCTTGTATATAAATGCTGTGGTGTGTAGGGTACCTGTAGCTACACAAGGCAGTGAAAGGCTCTGGCAGGGGGAAGGCATTGGGGAAAAGCTCCGTCAGGCTTTCCCTGCTCCCAGAGTTTTTCCACTGTCAGGAAGAATGACTCCAGCACAGCAGAAATTGCAGGACATTATGCTGTTAAAAATGGCAAAGACATGAGAGGCACTGTTTGGGCATGTAGAGAGCCTTGTATACATCCTAGGCCAGGGACGGGGAACCTTTTTTGGGTCAGGAGCTGCTGACACACAGAAAAATCAGTTGGAGGGGGAAATCCCAAGAACTCCAAACCCTTATTGACGTGGTCCCCGACTGAGAAAGAGAAAGGCACTCCTTGCATTCCTCTCGCACACCAGAGCCTGTGGGGGGCCAGCCTAGTAGATTTTGTGTGCTCCAGGCATGTGACGGGGCAGCAGGGGAGGGGGAGCTGGAATGCTAGCACAATCTTTCTACTTGTATACATCCTAGGCCAGGGACGGGGAACCTTTTTTGGGTCAGGAGCTGCTGACACACAGAAAAATCAGTTGGAGGGGGAAATCCCAAGAACTCCAAACCCTTATTGACGTGGTCCCCGACTGAGAAAGAGAAAGGCACTAGAGCCTTAGGTTCCCCATCCCTGCTCTAGGCTTTAGATGGGGAGAGTGCTCTGCTCTACTTTGTCTAATCTGTGCCTCACCAGTTATACGGCTTTAAAACCCATCATAGCTGGGCATGCAGTGTCTGTACTCTGTATGCTGCTGTCAATATAGATAATGCGTCAATCACATCATTTACACATGCTAAACTACATGCAAAGAAACTCATCTCAGTTTTTAGGTCAACGTAACTTTCCCAGTAGCTAGCAGATGTCGAAACGAAGAAAAACGCAATTATTATGCTACCCATTTGATTTAAATCTGCAAGTTAGTAGTCAACACTAAGAACGAGAAGTGTGTTTTAAGTGCGACTTTTCCCCAAAGAAAACAAGTGACTTAAGACAGGATGAGCAGAAAAGTTAATATCTGAAATCACATACCGTAATGCAGTTTTAAATTGTGTTAGATGAAAGGAATCAAGCATAGACAAAAGAATTTCTTCGGCTGTTTCTTTTGCCTACAAAATAACCCAGAAAATTATATTATGCTTACAGAATTTCCATTAACTAGAGGAGTATTCAGATGTTGAACACAAAGCATACCCCAGGCAGCAGAGGCACAATACCACAGAGGAGACAGACAACAGAGTGCCCAGGATTACTAACACACACATCTTGCCTCAGGATGTATAAAACTTTGAAACAGCACTGATTAAAAGGGACATTGCAGAAAATCCTGCTGGAGGCCACCAGACCAATTAAAAGTACTTTACTTTGCATCAGCCACCATTTATGCTATGGAAGTCTAATAACCCATCTTTGACAAAATTAAATATTATATAAACTTTACTGTGATGTTTATATGCAAGCCAAAAAAGAAAACAAGAAGTGGTGGAATTGTATTCAGAAGGCATTCCTTAAAGCCAGATGTGTGTAACATTCTGAAGGCAATGCCAATAATTTAGTTTCCACTACAACATGCAGGACAGGCATTTTCTATTACCTTGGTAACACTTGAAGTTTTGGTATAGCCTGCTATACCAGCGAGAACAGCCTCGACCACAGCACCATAGATTTGCGATAACAGCCTACTGAAAAACAAAATGTAACATGACTCGCTACAGCCAAACTCTACTTGAAATAAATGG